AAGGAAAGGCTACTATCTTATATTTTTTTATCATTTAAATGTGACACATGGGTAAAATTTATAGTTCATGAAAAAATCACAGTTTAGCCTGAAATGGACAGAAACGACAAATTTTAAATGGCACTTTCAATATTTTTTTGTATAGTGTGTCCGTATACAGGGTGTTTCAATATTCCATGGACATAGAACTACTACGTATTTTTGTAACCAAAATAAGTTCACTGGACACACTTTACCTCTATACAAAAGGGCTTGACTTTCTGTTACACCGAAAATGTCTACAATTTTTGGTTTTTAAATGGCACCCTTGGTATATTTCTACTTTATTCGATAGAAAATGACAATTTGAATAGAACGACATATCATATGTCAACTTTTGACATTTTCGCATATGTTTGTGAAAGCAAGGTTGGTGTGCAAACCTAACTAAACCAAACTAAATTATTCGTGAAAAATGCCTTTTCCAAATATGCTAATGAGCTACCCTTATTCCATTTGAAAAAATTGAAGACAAGACACGAAAAACATTAGACGATCAAATATAGTTTTCCAAGGCTCTTTGATCACTCTAGATTGAGGTTTAAAATACGATTTTTTTAGCGAAAATATGACATATTATATGTCATTCTACTCATGGTGTCATTTTTTATCGAATAAAGTAGAAATACACCGAGTTTTACTAGTAATTACTTAGTTTTATTTTCGAAGACAAATTTTATATAAATGTGGATATGTAACTACCATATGATCGAAAAAAAACGGCGTCAAAGACGGCTGGGGTATGAAAATCGATGGTCATTTTGGCGAGGTCAAGCCCTAGACGTCATTTATTTGACACGTATTCTTCTTTACTTTTTAATGGCGCTTGCTGCCAATTGGCCTTAGAAGGTTGTAATTTATTTTTATATTGAGTAAACATTATTTATAAATTGGAGAAAAAATATTTTTATCCACGACTCATCTATAATTTGATTATTATACATGAGTTTATGAAACAATAATATTCATTATTCACTAGTGAATAATGGTTTCATTATTCACCGCTTCCACGCTTTCATAAGAGCTATTTGAAGTTTTCAAGTCACTTTTTGCATTCATCTATGGGGTGTTTCAAAAGTTGTTTTTCTTGTAACGAGATTTTTAAAATATTTTTTGCTCCTTAAACATTCTCATATAGTATATCTCGCCATGTAAACAGATTATTAAACACCATTATGAAGAGACAATGTTAAAATTCCCTCATTTCCTACTCTATAATTCGATTTAAAAATTTCAAGTTTTTAATGTCACTTTTTGCATTCATCTATGGGGTGTTCCAAAAGTTGTTTTTCTTATCATAAGATTTTTAAAATATTTTCCTTTTATGTAGGTCTCTCATGTTGTATCTCGACATTTAAATAAATTATTAAACACCAGTACGAAGAAACAATGTTAAAATTCCTTCATTTTCTACTCTAAAATTCGATTCAAAAATTTGAAAGTTGTAAATGTCACTTTTGCATTCTAAAATTCGATTTAAAAATTTTGAAGTTTTCAATGTTATTTTTGCATTCATCTATGGGGTTTCAAAGTTGTTTTAAAAATAAAACTTATATTAATATTATCTAAATTTTTTTTGATAGTCCTGATAAAGAAACGTATTCCTACTCGCATTGAGTTATAATGGCTATTTATTCACTTGGGTGATTTATGATATAAACTTCATACGCGTGAATAACAGCCACCATTAAATGCGCGTTGAATAATATACTATTTTGAAATAGGTTTGTCTTTCTTTTTTTAATTTTTCTAAGATTATCTCTTTTTAATTTTGGACAAGTTTTAAGTCAGTTTTTAGTAAATGACGTCTCTGTTGCCGTTTTTATTTTTTTTCTTCTTCTTCTTGTAATAGGACGAGGTCCTGTCAATTCTGTCAATTATTGTCCTCTTTTGATGTTGATGTCCAGCTGTCAACGCTTTAGAGGCCTACCAACTGAGCGTCTTGTCTCTGGCTTTTGTGTTTTGGCCCACTTGGCAATTCGATCTGAACCTATCCTGTCTACGTAGTCTCCAACAGCGGCGTCTTGCTCTGACAACGTCCTGTGCCCGAATTCTGGAAATTCGACATAAAAATATTACACTTTCAAAGGGATAAACGAAAGTATTCGATTAGCGGAACGCCAAGCAGTCGATTTTGGTACACTCGTTGCCGTGCGAATCGTTTTATAGATACACGTTGAGCACATATTGGCAGCATCGCAATTTCTCAAATATCATTAGATATTTGAGAACTATTAAGTTTACTAATAGTCAAATGTGGATAAAACGATGACCTAGTTTTTAGTTATGTCAACCTATTTTTCTATGGATTTGTATGTTTCTATGATTCTTATTATACGAGGCAAATGTTGAAGATCCTTCTCAGCATTTTCGATGTTTTGAACAATATTTATAGCTGCCAAGTCGTAAATTATTAATTACTTATTCAGGAATTTACAGAAGAAGAAATGGTTTTCACTAGAGAGCAAGAGAACGCACAAAATCACAATTCTTTCTATTTGTACTCACAGTTCGACAAGCAAAACAATTCTTTAAGGTAGCCGTTTTCAAATCGCTTAACGCAATGGGTAAAGACGTAAGCACGCCAGATGAGAGAATACCGGAATTGGTAGTTAAATGCGCGCTAACGTAACCACCGTAATAACAAGGCCGGACAGCTGTGACGTAAAAATCTCGTGACGTCACCAACTGGAGGCGCAACTTTATTTAGCAGCGTTGATAATTACCCGATAAAAGTTCAAATTGTGGATCTGTTTTCACTCACCATATAGATTTCGAAAATTTAAACTGTCTTTTTCCGAGTTATTAAAATATTATAGTATATAAAAATAGTTTTAATAGAATACGGAAAAAATCGTACCAGTCCATAAATGTTTATCTCTCACTTTTTATCAATCAAATTTAATAAAGGAATATTTTAAGTTCACAATAGTGTATAATATATGAGAAAAAAAACAATTAAAAATAGATATTTTTTATAGTATATATTATGCATTTTATCGATATTTTACGCCCTCTACACCGGCGCCTGTCGTAGCACGTAGCGGAGTGGTATTGCAGTTCGTAGTGGATCGCAGTTGACAGTCATCGATTTATCGGTAGGGGTGCGGACGTGGTAATTATAATCGATAATAGAAGGGTGAAAAATGTTAAAAAAATTAATTAATTATTAATTATTATTAATAAATCTGTAAAAAGAGGTGTTTAAACTATAAAGTGATTATAAGTGTGTGCAATTATACAGTTTAAAAGGTATAATGCCTTGGGTTTCCAAAAGATGAAATTACTAATATAGTTTTATTTGAATGTACAATTTTTTACAAAGTTTTGCAAAGCCGTGTTTCTCAAAATTCACAATAAAAAAATATTTTTATCAAAACTATCTTTGGATTACATTAAAAGTAATAACACCATTATTAAAATTTCTGCAATGTACTATTTATAATGCTAAGTTATTGTAAAAATTGTCATAAATTCTATTAGAAATACGCGTCTAAACAACTACTGTTGTTAAAAAATAATGATAGACTTGGAAAAGGAAATAAAAGAAACTTAGACACACTTATAGCATAAATAAATACAATGACGATGGATAATATGAGATGGAATATCAATCTGATGTTTTTTAAATTTTATGTTTAATTATTATTTATTAAAAATTCGGTGCAATTGAAGTTTATATCCATTATATAAGTATAAAGTGTATCAAATGCAATCAAAGTTTAGGCCTCCAGTTGATGACGTCATGAATAAGCCGTCCGGCCTTGTTATTACGGTGGTTACGGCGCTAAGCGAAAATTAACGGCATATACGCTGAGCGTCTAAAAGCGCTTAGCGTTTTATAAGTTACAGAATTCAGACCCTCTACTCCCAACTTTCTTAACGTGTCTGTGTTGCGTATTCTGTAGAGCAGTGTAGTCCCTTTTTTTGTTCGTAATATTTTCATCTCTGTTGTTCTCATTTTCTTTTTTGTTTCTGATGTTTCTGCTCTTGATTCAGCAGCGTAAGTCATAATGGGTCTCTTTATTTCATTCGTATGTTACATATTGTTACGTTTTTCGTCGGTTCCATGTGGATAGAAAGTCACAATTTATTTATACACAATTTATTTACACCAAGTAACAAACAATAGGGGAGAAGAGGGGAATCGTACGCACCTAAGCAATATTTGGTCTAAATCTGACATTTTAATCACTATGCAATACAGATTTGTCCCAGTTGCACACATATATGTTTTCTCTTACATAACCATTTTAAATTTTAGTTTAAATTAAACGTGTATAAGTAAAATAAGTTTAGTTAAGTTTGGTGCCGTGCGTATAATTACCCGCTTGTGCGGATAATGGTACGCATTTGGTCGGGTAATGATACGCAAAAAAAAACTTTGTTTATAAAAGATTTTTTTTATTAAGAAACCGCTACAAAGTATCCAAAACTTTAAGAACGTAAACTTACATAATATTTAAAGATTGTTAAAAACGAAAACAAAACATATTACAGAACTTAAGAACTAAAATTAAATTTTTCCACAAAGTCTCTCTTAACAGAAGATTTTTTAAAACAAAAGTCACATTTATAATAAACGGCAGAGTCCCACCCACTGCATTCAGCATGTGCCCACAGCCCGCAACTAACACATCTGTACCAAATCTCTGCATCTTTTCCGAAATCTTCACACACTAAGCATTGCTCCTTTTCTTTGGAATCCACATCCATGTCGTCCAGTTTTTCATCATCAACTAGACACTTCTCATCAATTTCGTCGTCTTCGGTACTATCTGAATCTAATTCCATATTTCTTGTATTTTTTGTTTTTTTTGCTTACCGCAGCTTTCTCCTTAATATTTTTACTCTTACCTTGTTGGGCAGATTTAGCTTTATTTACTTTTTGTACTTTCTCTTCTAGAATCAATTTTAATGGGGTGGCAGTTAAGATCTCCGACTTTCCCTTGTTACTTTTTTTAGTTTTTCCTTTCCCAGAATATGACGGCAATGGTAACCTTTTCTTTTGGTAAGACACTTAACCTTGATTTTCCTTTAATACGCGACTGATGAGAAACTGACAGGCCAGAAGTTGACGGGACAGATGTGGATAGTCCAGAAGTTGAGGAGACAGATGTTGCTAGGCCAGAAATTGACGGGACAGATGTTAGTAGACCAGAAGTTGACGGCGCAGAATCAACCTCATTTGTAGAGTCCAAATCATCACATACAGTAGGTAGATATTGGCTAGCAGCTTCAAAATCCTCTTTTGTAAATTTATCCGGATTAAAGGGATATATTCCAGTTGAGTTAAAACCTGATATAGCTTTTTCCATAGTCGCGATTTTAACGAAGGCATTATTAAATATTTCTGCCAAATCGGCGAAAGTTATTTTTTCTTGCTTGCCAGTTTTTAAAAAAAGATCACATTCCTTATTAAACGCGCACTTAAATGGTCCAAAAAATGAGGTATCGAGAGGCTGCAAGCGATGTGGAGGTATTGATAAGTGGGAGGTATGTGGTGGTATTGATAACATTACGATTCCATTACCTTTACAATAATTATAAATCGGAAGAGATATATGGCTATAATGGTTGTCAAGCAACAACAAAACAGGGTTTTCTAGATTTGAATTTACATGAAATTTAAAATGCTCTAACCACTGAAGGAAACATTTCTCATTGCTCCAGCCATTATCGGTAACTGCATATATCCCGTCAACTGGTCCATGTTTCGTCAATGTCGGCGACATTCGTTTTCTGGGAAATATAAGAAGCGGTGGAATAAAGCTCCCAGAAGCACTCATTGCGCATATGGCAGTGACATTCTTTCCACGTTCCCAGGAAATTTTTGATCCGAATTGTTTAACGCCTTTGGGTCCTAGTTGCTTAGCAGGCTTCTGTACAGTTGAGATCCCAGTCTCGTCAACGTTAAATATTCTGCTTGGTGCAAATTTATATTTTTCTAACAGAGTTGTCAGATTTGAAAAAAAAAGTTTAACAGATTCTTCATTGAAAGCAGTTATTCTATTCACACTTGTTCCTTCAGGTTTTCGTAGGCTGATTTGGGGGTTTCTCTTAAGAAATGATTGCAACCAATCCTTGCCTGCTTCCTGTCGGTTTTTATTAAATTCATGACGTATGCCATTAGACTCTGCATATTGAAAAGCGAGTTTTCGTAACTCCACTGGAGTCAATCCATGAAACAATTTAGCTAATTAATATATAGGTATATATATATATATAGGTGTTGGCCTATATATATATATATATATATATATATATATATATACCTATATATATATATATATATATATATATATATATATATAGCAGCAGCAGCAGCAGCAGAGTACCTATATATATATATATATATATATATATATAGGTATATATATATACCTATATATATATATATGCCTATATATATATATATATATATATATTATATATATATATATATATATATATATATACCTATATATATATATATATATATATATATATATATGTTGTTATATATATATATATATATATATATATATATATAAGGCCTATATATGCCACCGATAATCGTGATCCCCGCCGATTGTGAAGTACGGGCTGTCATAATGATTTAGTGCTAAAGGCGTAAAACCGATCGATATTCATCGTGAGATCTGTGAAGTTTACGGACAAAACATTATGAGTGATGGAATGGTAAGGAAATGGGTGAGAACATTTAAAGATGGCAGCACAAATGTGCATGATGAAGAACGGAGTGGGCGTCCTTCGGTCGTTAATGAAGATTTGGTGCAGAAAGTGGACGAAAAGGTGAAAGAAAACAGACGCTTTACAATTTCATCATTGTACTTTCCTCAATGTTCTCGTAGTGTTTTGTATCGCATTGTGACCGAGAATTACCGGAAATTGTGTTCACGTTGGGTTCCGAAAATGTTGACGGATTTGCACAAAACCCAACGTTTAGGCAGTGCATTGACTTTCCTTGAGCAGTACCACAATGAAGGTGAAGATTTTTTAGACAATGGAATGGAATGGCGACATTCATCATCACCCAAAACAGTGAAGTTTAAGCAAACAATTTCTGCCCGGAAAATCATGTGCACAGTTTTTTGGGACAGAAAAGGAGTATTGCTAGTGGAGTTTCTGCCTCGTAATGAGACAATCAAGTATGTATGCAGCATCTTATTGTGAGACATTGAACAATCTGCGCCGTGCAATCCAAAACAAAAGACGTGGCAAGTTGAGTAAGGGTATTGTTTTGCTGCATGACAATGCCCGTCCACATGTGGCAAATTGGACCAAAGATCTCATCAAATCTTTTAAATGGGAAACTCTAGATCATCCTCCATACAGCCCTGATCTGGCGCCCAGTGACTACCATTTATTCCTGCACTTGAAGAAACACCTGGGCGGTCAGCGTCTTCAAGACGATAACGAAGTCAAAAAAGTTGTGATACAGTGGTTAACCAGTCAGGCGGCAGAATTTTATGAGGAGGGTATTGAAAAACTGGTGCCACGTTATGACAGTGCCTCAATATTCACGGAAATTATGTAGAAAAGTAGATTAAGGTACAGGCTTTCATGTAAAATAAATATTATGATATTATCTTTTGCATCGCTTTTTTTAATTCCAAACGGTACTTACCTAAAAAGATGCCTCGTAGAAGTCCCTAAGATATGTAGAAACTATTCTAAAGTCTTTTCTTTTACAAAGTGTCACTCTTTATAACTTTTTATGCTATATTTCAATTTGGAATATTATACAGTGGTTAATTTAACTGCATAGTATGCGATACAAGGTAAATTATAAGTTAGAAGATAGATATTACTCATATTTATATATATAATATAATATATATATAATATATATATATATATATATATAAGTAATATATATATATATATATATATATATATATATATATATATATATAGCAGCAGCATATAGTATATATAGTGAGTAGCAGTATATATATATATATATATATATATATATATATATATATATATATATATATATATATATATATATATATATATATAGCAGCATAGCAGTAGCAGCAGCAGCAGGCGCATATATATATATATATATATATATATATATATGTTATAATGACATATATATATATATATATATATATATATATATATATATATATATATTGATTTTTCGGTAGCGGCGTCATGTTGGAGATTTATTTAAAGTTGTTTCCATTGGTTTCTACGAAGTAAATGCACATATATATATAGCATATATATATATATATATATATATATATATATATATATATATATATATATATATATATATATATATATATATATATATATGTGTCATTTACTTCAGTAGAGGCTTGTCCATTCACTATAAAAATTAGAGCAACTTTTAAATAAATCTCCAGAACTTACCTTTATTTTAATGACGCCCAAACATTATAAAAAAATACCGAAAAGTCAAAATGGTCCACTACTCACAAACGCAAGAGCGGAACTGAACTGTACCACAACATAATTATTAAAACACGTTGTTGCCACGAGTCTATACGATTAGGGACGATAATTAACGATTGCTTGAACGTACTGGGGGATGCGTATGATTGCCCGCTGCGTATGATTTCCCGCCTCTCCCCTAACGATTAAAATACTTAAAGAACTATTTACACACTATTTATAACTATTTATCTAGAAAGAATTTATTTTGAATTTAGCGCGGCAGCTGTACTCGTCTATTTATTTCTGTCCTCTTCAGGCTCCAGCCGTCGGATTTTATACCCACAGCTAAAGAGTTCTCGAATAATCCATAGATCATTAGGTGCATAGAGAAGGTTTCGAATGTTCTCGTATGTACTACTCCATTCCAGTGGAACTCAATTGTTCTCGAACGTTCGAATGAATCATTACGGTTATTCTTTAATGCCATATTAAGTTCATCTGGGGGGCGGAAGAGGTTAGTTTGTGGTCGAGTCCACGTCGGGTCCGAAACAATATAATGATAAACTGCTAATACAAGCTACAAATGTCGGTTTTACCAATACATATCCCATATGATATGTTTGCAATGCACTTATGTCCTATTAGTCTACTATTCTCAGGAATTCTAATATTTCCCCAATTTTGGCAAATCTCTTGAATTTAATTGTCCGGATTAAGGTGGTTGTATTGTATTTGAAGCACAGCTTATTCAGTAATTCCCTGGATATTTATTAGCGGCTTACTTTGAATTGAGAGACTCGAATAGTTTTAGGATCCACATTAGCGTATCGTGTGTTGTAGAATGTAGAATGTAAAATGTTTAGAAGGGGAGTTAATCACCGCGACCTTATAGATCTATTGTGTGTTCCCCTTTCTTGAGTTATAACGAGTTATAACTCATCATACAGTCTCAGGGCTTTAGGAAAAGCCAGTATCTGAGACGGCTCCACAGAGGTCAGCTCTCCATCCTCGACATCAGACGTACCAAGGTTCATGGCATGAGTGGTCGTCGTCTCGGCGCACTCAGTATTAAGGTGTTCTGGTGTTTCCCCATTTTCCCCACAAAATCTGCATTCGCCGTTGTTTCTCAGTTTCTGCCTACTGAGCTGTTCGTTGAGGAGACAGTGTCCTGTTAGAAAGCCCGTGACAATCCGAAGATTGTTTTTAATTAAATCAAGGAAAACCTTTGATTTTTCTCGGTCATAAGTTCTGAGGAACTTTTTCGAGTGTCTTAGACCGTTGGAGGACACCCATTCCAAGTTACGGATGGAGTCTTCCAGATTCTTCAGTTCCGCTTTCAGTTGGTTCCCGTTTGGAAAACAGAACGGTTCTGGTCCAATTAGTGGAGTGTTCGCTCCTTTTCTAGCTAGATCATTTGCTTTTTCATTGCCTTCTATCCCTTGGTGAGCAGGCACCCAGAGTGGAGGACTTTATTTTCTTTGCCCAACTTGTTGAGCTTCTCTAGGCATTCTTTGACCAACTTTGAATTGATGGTTACTGAGTTGATCGCGTTTAGTGCTGCATGACTATCGAATTGGATGGCAATTTCCTGTTTTCGATAGTTTCTATCTAAGATAAATTGTACACATCTTTCGATAGCGCAAATTTCTGCCTGAAGGATACTGGGGTAGGTGCCCATTGATTCGGAGTATTTGGTTTTCGGCCCAAATACTCCTATCCCTGTCCCTGCTTTGGTTTTGGAAGCATCAGTATACCACGTTATGTTATGGTCTTTTATATGCTGAGTAAGCGTTTCTTCCTTCCCAATCCTTTTTATTACTCAATACTACAGTGAGGTGTTTCTCAAAGTTGTAAATTCTTGGTATGTCATCCACTGGGAGTTGGAGAAGTGGAATTTTCTTTTTGAGGGTTTTCCAAGCCCCTGACCTAAAAATTCTCCCAGTACTATTTCCGTCTATGACCATTCTAATCATTATCGCATTGGCATAACTACCGACGACAATGTGCAGTGGTGTTAGGTCTAAAGTGACCTCCATTGCTGCTGTTGGACATGTTCTCATGGCACCTGTGATGCAGATACATGCCAGTCTCTGTACTTTGCACAGGTTTTGCCTTGCTGTACGTTGCTCTAGTTTTGTATACCAAGCAACTGCTCCGTATGTAATCATGGGTCTTACTATCATGGTATACATCCAGCGCAAAATTTTTGGGGCTCAGCCCCACCTATTCCCCGCCAGTCTTCTGCATATCATGAGAGCCTTTGTGGCTTTGCTGGTAATGTTCTTAATATGCCTGTTCCAGAGAAGTTTACTATCCAGGGTTATTCCTAAATATTTCACTTCCTGTGATGGCAATATTTCCTTTCCACCTA